CATTTGTTTGTTTGTTTATTTATTTATTTATTTATTTATTTATTTATTTATTTATTTATTTATTAATTCTCTGTCCCCAGGTACATCCAGGCACAGGAAGACCGTGTGACTGTTGTATTTAGTACTGTATTCAAGGATGACGATGATGTTATCATTGGCAAGGTTTTTATGCAGGTTTGTTTAGTAGACTATACTGTATGTTGCATGAAAAGTCAATCCAAATCATCTGATAGAATAATATGAGTGTGTAACTCTGCACTATTAATCTAAAATCGTACCAAATTGTTTGTCATTTTCCACATGGTTTTCCATTTCAATGGGGATTTCATTGCTTTTACAGTGAATTTGACAAATAAGTTGGACCATAAATCAACAAAATTTTCTTTGCTTTAACTGCCTTTTTTTTTTTTCTAAGAAAGCTCATTATTGGCAAAATGTTGACAGTGCTTTAACCAATCATATTTATCAATGAAAATCAGGATTGTATATCCAGGAATTAATGTAAAATCTGTATTTCATCTAAATTAAATGTACACACTTTTTTGCACTCTATCAGATGCTCTGCTCAACCCCAGACAACAGTCGCAAGACTGCTCAGTTCTGTGCCAATAGTACTTTGTGGTCTAACTATCATTTTTGAAGTTTCATTCCTCGGAAAATATTTGAAATCTTGTATGATTTAAAAAATAAGATTTGTCATTAGTCTTTCTTATGTATATATGTCCACCAATGAGGCCACCATATCTTTTGTTATTTCACTTCGTTGGGAATGATTGAAAAACCCACCTTTGTTTGATGTAATTTGTCGTTACTCTTTTTTACATTGTATGTTATGTCCACCAATGAGGCCACCATATATTTTGTTATTTCACTCCCTTGATTAAAAACCACCTATTTTTGTTGTAATTCGTTGTAGGAATTCAAAGAGGGTCGTCGTGCAAGTCAGACAGCACCTCAAGTCTTATTTAGCCACAGAGATCCCCCTAGAGAATTGGCAGGCACTGATGCCAAGACAGGCGATAACATTGCTTATATTACATTTGGTATGTGTAACAGGTTCATTATTGCATTCTGCAGAAGATTCTGTTTGATCCAGCAATACTCCAGTTTCTAGTTCTACATGTTGATTAGGGTTAGCCTCAACTTTGTGCAGAATATTCATGTGTTCCAGTGAAGGTCCATAAAATTTCAAAGTGTATTGTTGAAGTTGTGCACTCTTTACTTTACCGTTGGTATTTGTGATGTTTGTAGACAACGATATGAGGTTAAGCCTGAGTAAACGACTCTGTAATAAAGGAACACAACGGTAACTTGGAACTGGAAAAAGGACTATTAGAGCTAAATCAATAATCATTTATTACATTATACATTTAGTATGTGTGGGTTGTTAGACCCCCCCCCCCCCCCGAACGGAGGAATTTTTATAAAGACCATCCCCATACCCCCTTACCTCTGGAACTTCCAATCTCCCAATTTTCTTCCATGCAAACTCTTTTATTTTGCTGTTTTTCTCACCCCCTCTACCCCTTGGAAATTTGAAATCCCTTTGCGGTGGGCGGGGGGGGNAGGGGGCGGGGGCGGGGGTGTCGCACAATTTCTGGGACTGCACATCATATGGTATTTGAAGTAACAAGATAACAAGAGATAACTAACATTTATATTTTTGAACAGTTCTTGAACCAAGACATACCAACCCAAAAGCCAGAGATAACACCATCAACTTGATCCATACATTCCGCAATTATCTGCATTACCACATCAAGTGCTCCAAGGTATGGTAATAATGATACAGTATGTACACTGTAGTATATAATATACCTACATACCAACCCACAAACACCATCAACTTGATCCATACATTCCGCAATTATCTGCATTACCACATCAAGTGCTTCAAGGTATTGTGAAAGGGGACTATATTCACAACGAAAGGGGTCTATATCTGTAGGTATATTTATCATTGTATTTACAGCTTGCATATTTCTTTCCAAGGCTTACCTTCATTCTCGTATGCGAGCACGTACAAGTGAATTTATCAAGGTGTTGAATAGAGCCAAGCCAGAGAAGGTCACGGAAAAGAAGACTATATCGTAAGTAGATCTTGCACTGTCTATTCAGAATATGATTCTTTAAAGTGTCTAAAGTGTCTATTCGTTCTATCGCTTTTGCACTAATAACTTTCCGAATAATATTTCCGTCAAAAACGTTTATAAAAATTGTGCTTCCCTGTGAGCAGGATGAAATTTTGACTTTCAGCAATTAAAAAAACTGCTCAGATCAGATCGTGAGTTTCAATGTCAGAATTCAAATTTATATCGTCTGTAGTTGTCCGGGTTGCAGAAAATCGCTCAAGAACTGTAAAAAATAATTGTTCGTACTTCCATTCCTGCATAACCATATTTTCGATCCTTTTGTTCTCTTTTGTTTTACGACTTGCTATTTTCTTATTGGTTTGTTTTCTCCCTACACCACTATATAAACCCCTCCATCATTCTCTTTCTCTCCATTGACTCCGACGAAAGACTAACGTCCGAAACGGTGATAAAATTATCTACTACGACACATTTGTTTCTGCCTAACCATAAGTTGTTCTTTTTTTCCTTTTAGGGGCAAGACATTTGTTCGACAGTAAAACTATTCACGGTCCTTTACGTCTTCTATCTTGAAGGAACGAAATTCCCCCTGATATTTTCCAAAATTTTATGACAGTTTAATACATTGTAAAGAATTACTTCAAACTAAAACCCAGCTTGTAGCTAAATAACAATAGGATTTTTCTTTGCCGTTATTGATTTGGTGAACGAAAACAACTGCTCCATGTACTCGTATCTTTTGTGAAATATTTCTGCAGCTATTTTTTTATAAGGTTATATTGGGTATTGACACTTTTGAAATTACATATATCTTGGATGCGAGGGGAAATTTCAAATGAATACAAATTCCATTGAAATATTCTTGCATTTTAGCTTTGCATCCAAGAAAATTTTAAAAGGGGTTTATACTACCAAGACAAATGATAACTCATAGTATTGGATATTGGTGATTTTATTGTGAAATGATGTAGATTTATGACCATCATTATCAATAACAGTTTTTGTCGTAATTCGTACTATACCAGTAGAGAGAGCTCTCAGCAATATTGCGTTTATTAATTGAGAAATAAAATATTTTGTTTACATAAATGTTCTTTGTCGTGTGATGAAATATTCCGGGGGGGAGGGACTCCAATTAGATAAGGTTGGGATGATCGTCGTATCTTTTAGGGTTCACGATCTACAATTTGGTGCATCTTAGGGTGTCACAAATCTAACAGGACTAAAGTTGAAATATATATAAACGGCAATGCCATATTTGTACACAGGCCTGTAGCTAAGTCCAAAATATTGGCAGGGTCAATAGGTCAACAGTATTGAGGGGCACGGCTTAAAATATTGGAAGACACTAGGCTAAAAACATTGGGGTCCTGAGGTCAAAAACATGGGTCACTAGGTCAAAAGTATATGGGCACTAGGCCAAAAACATTGGGGCCACTAGGTCAAAAATATATTGGTCACTAGGTCAAAAGTATATGGGTCACTAGGTTAAAAAATATATGGGTCACTAGGTCAAAAATATATGGGGCACTAGGTTAAAAATATTGGGAGCAATATAGGTCAAAAATATGAGGCACTAGGTCATGAATATTGGTTGGGGCTCTAGGTCTAAAATATTAGTGGCAATAGGTCAAAAGTATTTGGGATATTGGTTCAAAAACTTTGAGGAGCTATCCTGCTACTGGCCTGGTACGGCTGTGCAAAATAACGCACTGCCTTAGTGCATGTCGCAAAGTGCAGCAGAATAGCGTGATTGATTTTTACCCGTCATATGCTTGACTTTTGAATAGTGCACAAATGATTAGGTATATTGGATTCTAAAATAATGCTATCCAGTTATATTATAGTTGTTTAGTGTTCACTGCAATAGCGCAACGAGCAGGTTAGGGTCGGGACAAATTGATAAATGAAAAATTCTCCACAATTGGTTACGTTGATTGATCTTGACCAGTTACAGCAATTTTTGGACCAATGGAAACAGACCTTCATTGTAGTCGTTCCTTGTTCTATGGTTGGGTGTGGGTCACTTAGCCAGCCAGAAGCGTGTGTACTGCATCGAGAAGTTGGAACGCAATTGGTTGGCATACGAACACCGGCTGCGCCACTAAAGCGATACCACCCCAAGGCTATACGTTTGTCGCATTTGATAGGTGCTGTAGTATTTGCATTATTGACATTTCTGGTTGCATCTGTGATATTGGCATGAGAAGAACATCCGAACGGTAATCCTACATGTACAAAATACAAATTAAATTGCAGTAAGGAATTAAGATGTATTCTCAATCACACGCGCTTCTCAATCACACGCGCGAAATTTTACAATTTTCTTTTGCGACAAAATAGCGTTTTGCATTGGTGGACGGCAATCAAAGTGTTTCAATGTCGGAAAACACAAAGCTTTCAAGGGCACGTGCCTATGGAATGTAATGGAAACGTCTTGATTGACGTCCACTAAAACCTACTTCGTCACGACGGCAAATTGAACGATTTCCCACGTGTGATTGAGAAGCGCTGCAACTAGTATGTTATACTACTTATTTATGTGTCTTTTAAAATACACCTGATAATAACATACCCCTATATCGCATCAATCTTCATGCTCTTGGATAACCATTAAGTTTTATTATTATTATTATTTATTTATTTATTTGTTTATCTTTTTTTTTTTCTTTTTTTTTTTTTTTTTCAATTTAAACGAATTCCCGATTTTATACAGCACTTTAAAGTTGCAAACACAAACACAAAGAAAGGGTCCATGCGCTCGCCAAGTTTCAGTACTACAGTTAAAACTACATTTAAAACTAGAGATGTGGCACTAGGATAGTTTTTGCGTCATACTGCTGGAAATATAAAATAATATCTAGCTGACATATTTCACATCCAGTCTTAATTCAATTACGTAACAGCTGTGAATATATTAGAGTTAACTTGGCTATAGTGTGTGTGAGGGAGCTCGTGATCCTTAAAGGGCCACTTGGACGAAAATCG